AAACTGATCTACTTATTGGATGGCCTGAGGGTGAGGAAATTTTCAGCAGATTTTAATTTATGGGCGAACTGCTCCTTTAACAAATCTGTTGGACCTTAAAACCTAAATCAGCAGTTCATTGGCTCCAAACTTAAATTTCAGTCATTATTGATGTGACCCACTCTATGTGTGCTAAAATGGCCACAACCACACAAGAGTAGCTGAAATACACTGAAGGTTCAAACACAGCGGAGCTCCTCCGGGAGTGTGAATGCTTTCAGACGCACACATTGATTTCCTTGGCAGAAATATAACAGCGTTCGCAGCTCTCATAACCGGCTCCCAGTGCTGCAGCAGCACAAATAGATCAGCCTCTAAAGATGAACGATTCTCAGATTAAAGATAGAGGGTCGGGAAATAAATATATGTCTGAATGTGCCAGTGTCAGTGTGATAGCGCAGGTTTGCAGTTATTGACGATTGTGTGTGTGTGTGTGTGTGGCTGACGCTGATAAATGGGTCATTCCTATTCTGCAGAAACTCTGTAACGTTTGAAAACTTTAATATAAATAAGCATTTCTATAAAAGTGTATAGCAGATGCTCAGAAATAATACAACAGTTAGTTAACACGAAGACATCAACTTGAAGTTTGTTTTCATAATTTAATCATCTTTTGAAATGTTGATACTATTAAACTGATTTGTGACCAAAGAGGATGAATGTTTTATAGTGAAACAAACCAACTAACATCACAAAGATTCACTAAATCCATTGATCCTGCTGTCAAAAATATGTTCTAAGAACATTTTGCTAAGGCTCCGATTTAAATTATGAAAACATTATTTGTGAATGTTCTCTCAATGTTCAAAACACCCAGTTTTTTAAAAATGTTTTTAAAAGTTAGTTATGCATTGTTAAGGAACGTTCCATTGTATCACTTTGCAAACATTTTGGGAATGTTGCTTTTGAATGTTCTCTGAACATTCCGAAACAAGTAACATTGAAAAACAAGACAAATGTCTAAGATGTTTGAAAAATTCCGTGAACATTGCATCAATGTATTTGTGCAAACATTTTGAGAACATTATTAAAGACAATGAACATTCTATTGACATTACTGGAAAAACATCGAGAAAATCTTGCTACACCGTTCTGAGAATGTTCCCGCCAAAATGATGTCACTTCCTGGAGGATTCTGTCATCCACATCCACTCAAACCAATGTAGTGAAATAATTTAAAATGAAGCCCTACATTGTGTTCACTTCAAGATAGTATGAAAAAGAAACCTAAAATACGACTTCAGTTTTTATTTTAATAATTTATCTAATATATTAAAAAAATGAATGAAGGGAGCATTAAAAACATTCTTCATAATAGGGCTGACCCAATCGCACTGACACGGCTGGTAAAACCCATTTAGCACTTGCTGGTTTCAAATGAACGTCACGGCGTTCGCTTTCTCTTTCGTTCCGCACCGTCTTCAAGGCCAGGCAGGTCTTTCATTAGTAAAGCATTGAGATAAATGATCATTGTGCGCCGCTGAACTCTCGAGTGTCATTTGTGTAGAAATGATTTCTGCTGGTAGATTCACATCCTGACATGCATCAGAAGTCAGAGGAAGGCGGCTGTCGGCTTTGATTATGTCCACAGTCTTTAAAAGCATGCAGCATACAACCTGAAGGAGACACCGTGTCATGCACGCTACTTTGTTGTCTGGTCTGCGGTCAGAAGTGGATGTCAGGAACAGATCGATGCTGTTGTGTTTGTAGACATGTGTGATGAATGTTGATGTCAGAGAGAGGCTTTACTGTCACTGTCAAAACATCACAATGTGCAGAACCTTTCAGCTCGATTTATTTCTACCTCATCTGACCCTTAAAAATGAGTTTTTGTTGTAACCTAGTGTACTGTAACTAGCATGTTGATTCAGTCATGTTAAATAATATTTTTTGGCTTGAACAAAAGCTGTTCATTTAGATGTTGCGCATTATTATTTAAGTGCATTTTTTGAAGTAAATAAAACTAAATGAAATAGTTAAATTTTCCCCTTGGAAAATGCTGATTAATTAAACCTCAGATGCAACAATATCAAGAGTCAAGCGTCAAATAGATTCAATGTAAGAAAAAAAACTGTGAAAATTAATATAGCCCATATGGCTATATTCAACAATATATTATATTTCAAATATAAATTTCATTAAATTTCAAATATGTTTCAAAATATATTTTCTACCAATATATTTTTGTATATAATTGAAAATATATTTTTATAATATTATATAATAATTTTTATAATATTTATATAATAATATTTCATAATTTTTATATTTAATGAAATTTTGCCCTCCGCATATTTCAATCCAAGAAAATACATTCATGTCACATTTTAAGAAAAAAATAATTAGTTTTCTATAAGGTGTGAACATACAACACATTTAAATAAAAATGAGCAATTAGGAACATGCTTTACAATGTTCCAAAAACAATACAATATTACAAAATATATAAATTGAAAATGTATTTTCTTGCCCTGGAAATACATTTTGAAACATACTTTGGTACATGAAGGTTGAAACTATATATCAATTTAAAAATACATTTCATTAAGTTATATTGTTTGCCATATATATTTGGAATATAATTTG